AAGGATAACATCGTATCTTAGCTTTGTTACATTGAACTTCTGTCATAAGACACAAGTGTCACTCAACTTCAATGTTTCTTCTTCACATGTCTCATTCAATATGTTTTCTTTATCATTTGTAAGGCATATACTCCCTTCTTTGATTACCTTAGTTTTAATCCCAAGTCAATTAGAAATATCAATTCAAATATAATTTTTGTAGAACCACAAAATTGTAAGCACTCAATATGCTTGTCATCTTAGTCATCCCATTAGATACACCAGTCGATTATTTGTATAGTTATCTAAGGCCATGTTGTTTGTCTCATAGAGGTAGCAACTATCCTTAATAGTAGCCCTTGGTGCCTTTATAAGAGAGTCTCATTTCTTTGCTCTATTTTAATATCAATGTGAATCTTAAGACTATAAATCGTCATTAATATATTGGTGATTGAATTTTAAAAAATTTCACAACCTTTGATCTGGTGGCATGGCTCTTGACAATAAAAATACAATGCTTTCTGTGCCAATATTAGTCATTTTTGTGGTGTCAATGATTTTTGGAGGACATCAATTTCTATTGGCATTGATTGTTGTACCATAGTATTAAATAACAACATAAAATTTCATGCTATTGGTCGTGCTCCACAATTTCTAAAATCTATAGTATCGACCTTCTCTGCAATCCTAATTGCATCTTCAAATATTTGTGGATCTTATAGTTTCACCTCTCATTGGACTACAAGTTTCAATCCTTATAGAAACCAATCTATCATCTTTGCCTTTGAAACATTGTCAATTTGGAAACATAGAGACTTGAATCAAAAGACATAATCTTACATTGATCTAAATTGTGTAAGATTTTCCAACAGATCGCATGATATCTTTTTCGCATTAATTGGATGGAATTGATTTCTAAACTAGGTCTCAAACTCCTCTCAATTACAAAATCCACTTTAAGCTCCAGAACTTTAAACTTGATGTTGTCACCAAATGGCTACCACACCTTTTAAATAGTTGGTTCTATACGTAATTCCTTTCATCGTATTTGTTCAAGATAGTTGAAGGTATTGTTGCATGCTAAAGAGCCATTGACATACATCTTCTTACCTTGAAGTTCTAGAGTATGTATCTGGCTTACTCAATTTTAGTTTGGCAGATGTTGACTTTCTTATCTAAGAAGCTTCTATTTGTCCTTATAAAGTAGCTATCTAGCCTAAAAAGTATTATATTTGAGCCTCCATCTAAGATTACTATGTAATATCTCCTATACTATAATTTTTTCACTAGACTGTACTATTATAATGCCTTTTCTCTTTTCAGCTAACTTCTTAAGAATAGCTCATAGTAGCCTCAATATAATACTAGTGTGACCACAATAATTGATTTCAAACTAGATAATGGCTATTGACATGCTACCAATGAATAGTCTATCACTTGCTCTGATATCAAATAAAATGGAATTAGACTATCTTAAAAATCTAAGATCCTTCTAATTTACACCAACACATATCCCACCACAATGTAGGATATAGCAAACTATAATAAACAAAATAGAACAAAACTAAATAATAAGATGTAAAATCAAACATTAGCCTAAAGCTATATCTAACTAGATATTTTAATGGTCATGGCTAGTCCTATTTATACTTTGTTCAATCATCCTAGAACTTTTTAAAATGTTCTTAATGGTAGATTCTACCTAGATAACTGTCCTAAGTTCATTCTAGAATGTTTTATGGTAAGCCCTACCTAAATAACCGCCTTAAGTTCTTCTAGAATGTTCTATGGTGGATCCTATATAGTCTATTAATGTAGCCCCAATTCTAAAAACTTCTATAATATTTTCAAGTATGGTTCCAACTATTTATCTATATGTGCCAATAATACAAATATCTTATATATATATATATATATATATATATATATCCCGTTATACATCTAAACCATTAAAATTAATAGGTATAATAGAAAAATAGAAATCAATTAATAATTTAAAATATTCTAGTAGAATTTCATTTTTTAAGAGTCAATTCTATAATTTGATATATTATCCACTTTATAGAAGTAAATCCAAACAGAAATTATTTAATAAATTATTTAAAGAAATTTATCAAATTAACTTAAAATCATTAACAATAAAACTATTAATAGTATAAATTATCTACCTTAAAAAATAGATATAATTTTATTACTTAAAATCTAAAATTTTATTAAAATATCAAATTTAAAAATATATATAATTTTTATATTAGAAAAAAAATCTTATTAAATATAATAAAAAAATTAATTGATTACAATTTTTACAAATAAAAAACAAATGTCTCTCAAATGCCATCCATAATACCAAAAAATATTAGTCTTTTCTAAATCAGGTTTATTTTTTAATACAGGAGATATAATATTGATAAAAAAATAAAACTACAAAAAACAATCTAAATAAAAATATTTTGCTTCAAAAATCCTAAAGCTTTTATTATAATATGTATTAAATTTGTCTCTAAAGCAAAGACTAAATTAATGACAATAGTGTCTATACTTTAAATAGAATAAATGAGATGCAAGTAGCACAAGAAGTTTTTCAAAACTTTATATTTAAAAAACCTTCTATTATAATTTTAAAACCATCTTTGATATTGTTAGAACAAAAACTTGATAAAATTTTATCAACAGTTAAATAAACCTTTTAAATCAACTATCTTCTTTTGAAGAATTATAAAAAATCATAATATATTCAATAAAAATAAATGTTACATGTCCAAATGTTATAGAAATTCATTTCTTTAAGACATTTTGAATCTCTATCCAAAATAACATCAAAAAAGAAACTAAGAGAAAATTTTATAGAAAATAGTGTATTTTTCAAAGCTCTAGTTAGAAGCTTAATTATTTTTATCTACAATGCTAAAAAAATAACAATATAATTATAAATAATGATATAATTGACTAAGGTTAATTTCCTATCTTTCTTTTAAAATACATCTCAAGTAACATAATTCTCACCTATAAAGTGGTTTATTAGACAATTTTATTTAAATAAGATCTTTTATTTTAAAACTCTATTTTTTTTTTTACTAAGACTTATGCTTATATCTAATAATTATTTTTTCAATGCTACAAATATTATAATTTTTGGCCTTCATTTTATTGACATTACAAGATTTCCAATTAAAATAATTAATGTACAATTAACATAAATAGTATCTATATAAATAAATTCTATTCATAGAAGAATAAAATAAAATAATTTTTATCTTTTCTACTTATTTCTTATTTCAAATGATCTCTTGAAGGCCATCTTAAATTCTATAGTATACCAAAATATAATAATAAAAAAATTCTTTTTTTAATAAATTTGATAAATATATAAATAATTTTAAAAAATTGTATAATATAATAAATTATAGTATTTTTAGATTTTATATTTCTATATACAAATAAATATAATTAAAAATTTAATAAATAATTTTTAATAAATTTAATGAATTATTAAGAGCTTATTTTAGATTTAATAAAGACTATAAATTCATAAATAACTTTCTTATTAAATGTAATAAATAAGAGCTAAAGTTTGGTATATAATTTTCTTACACTTAACAAAAAGACAATTTTTAACAAAGATAGTTGTTAAATCCATGATATAAAGTTTCTTTGGCTCTTACTTATGGATACATGCTTCTAGGCAATTTGGGAGCAATGTAGAATTTAAAGAAAATAAAATAAAAGAATCTAAATAGATGTCTATAAAATAATAAATTATTTTAAGAAGTTTGTAAAAAGATGGTTTAGAGAGAACAAACTAGGAATTATTTATATAAAAAAATGCTATAAGATAGTAAATATTTTTGCTCTTAAATATTTATACAACCTATTTCTTTTCTAAGTCTTTATGTATAATTTACAAAGATATAATTACTACTTGTAATCAATAGCAACATAATAAAAATATTTTTAATAATATTTTCTTTCAATCATATGTATAATTCAAAAATATGTTTATTTTTTAGTTCTAAAATTAAATCTGACCTTTGGATTAGATTAGTATTAAAAATAACATTTATATATTTCATTAAAAACTATATATATATATATATATGTGTGTGTGTGTGTGTGTGTGTGTGTGTGTTTTTAAAATTATAAAATTATTATAAGTCAAAAGTTAAAAGATAGTTTAAATTTACATGTAATATTCTTATTGTATAAAATTACATAAATAGTTTAAAAAAACATAAATATATAAATATATGGTGAATTGAAAAACAAACTCAAATACATAGTTTAAGACAAACTAACAAAAAAGGAAAAATGTTACATATACCCCTCAAATATGCTGAAATATCAAGAATAACCTTATATTTGATAATAGCAAATCTACCCCACTTTTGTGAAAATAACAAATCTATCTTTGAATGTAATGAGATATCACCACTTCCTTTTTTTAGGAGCATCCTGGGCCCAAACTATGTGCCACGTAGATTTTGGCATGACCCTTTTTGACATTGTTTGGCACATTTTGCCTCGTCTTCTGTTTGGGTGAGTTTGCGAAGGTTCAGAAATCTGTATACATTTGGCTCTCACCAGTGTATATTATGGAACTTCCTTGATCAATACCAATCAAACACACCAAATCGTTAAGAAGGTGCCCTTTCTAAACTTGCACTCAAATCAAGCTCCAACACCCCCCCCCGCAACCATCTGCATGGCTAGTGGTGCAGAAAGAGTGAAGTCCATTGCTGCCGTTGCGGGGGACTACAAACCCGGGTCGCTCGGATGAGAGTCAAGTATCCTAACCCTCTTGACTTCAACGGATGAGAACAACTGCCCAATCTGCTGCCGCCAAGCACTACTTTTTCGGTCGACAAACCGTCCCCTCCTCACGACTGGCTATGCCCTCCGAAGCTTCATGTTCGCAGATGAAGCAAAAAAAAGTACGAGGAAGAAAAAGGCCAAAAAGCCGTGGAATCGTCCACGCTGGCAGCAGGACTAGAGAAGGGTGGGAATGAAGCTTCAAGGACATTACGGAGCCTGCCCGTGTAGCCCCCCCTGTCCCAGCCCGGCCCGACTCTGAAGTGAAGGGAATCAAGCTCCAATGCTCAAAACCCTGCTTGCTCTGCGTCACAGATTGGTATCGCCATGCCCCCTCGTTGGATTTGCAAATTTTTGCTGTATTCTCCGATCGAGGTTGTTGATTTAGCGTCGCATTTTGTATCCAAAGCGTTCTTCAGACAAGGTACTGAGATCACGCTTTTCTCCAAACTTTGCTGTAATGCTTGCGGTGACTATTCAGCGCTGTGGCCGAGTGATTGTTGCACCGTGTACTTTGGAACTGTGTAGCCCTTTGCGTCTTCTAGGGTGCGTTGTTCTCATGCTGTTACCACCATCGCCTGGGCATCTATTGATTTCCATGTAGTTGGTTAGGTTTGGAGTGTGAATTCGTAGCTTCGGGGTGGTTTTAGGGTTTTGGAGATCAGGTAGAATGCGTTTGTGAATTAGATGATTTTAGGGCTTGTTCCGTTGGAATGTATTTGAGTTTTCCTTTTTGTCTGTTTTTTTCGCCTTCTTATGTCGTTGAGGTTCGCCAAGTTGTTTTGTTTCAGGCTTTTTGCGTTCAGGGGTTAGTGTTTCTTATCACGAAGGCGAAAGGAGCAAAGTCTTTTCTTTTGCAGTGGACGCTGGCCTGCAGACATGGACTCTAGAGTAACATTCAGCTTGTAGACTTTTATTTCTTTTGGAGGGTCTTATGATGGACTGTCCTGAGTTTATTGCATTTTAATTTGAGGGAAGAGATTAGTGGTAGATTTTTCAGAAATTAGGATTCAGGTCGAGACGTAAGCGATAGTTTCATGATGTACTTCCGATGCGTGATTCAATACTTACCTCAGAAGCCTACCAACATATGTGGTTTGTTGTGTGCGATTTTAATCGTGAGCTTATCGAGCACCCGAGCCGATTCAGGGACTACGCATTCCATTTCCTTGTCGAATTATCACTGTCCTGCACCGACACTTCAGGAAACATTGGCTCCTCCTCTGGGTTTCTGCAGTTTCGATACTCAAGCTTTCTCATTCAAGCACAATCATGCTGCCTCTGACCAGCCACTATCCGCTCGAGTTGCGGAGGTAATTGTCATGTTTTTCGTCATATTGAGACCATGCCCACAATGTTATTTGCTTCTGATGCAATTACTATATGTTCTTTTGGCAGCCCTCTTGAACAAGGTCGCTGAGAGGCTTGTCATCTATGTTCATTTCTTTACAGTTGGTTCTCTTGCTGTGCCTTAGACATTTTGATTTGAATTTAGTCGTGGCTGGTTACTCTTAGCGAAGCCATATTTGATGTGTGGATTCTATTTTGCACTGATTGTCGTGTACATTTGTTGTGCAGTTGAATGAGACTACGTTGGAAAAAGCGTTAGACCTGGTGCACAGTAGCAATGGGACGTACATGGCAGTGCTCCATTATGCAACGTGGTGCCCTTTTTCGAGACAAGTGCGTCCTGTGTACGATGTCCTATCCACAATCTTCCCCACTGTCCACCATGTGGCCATTGAAGAGTCTTCAGTCAGGCCGAGGTGAATCTTTTACTCAACTCTTCTGAAACTTTTGTGGTAAGGTTCTTGATCCAATGGTTTCATTTCAATGCCGGAAGTTCAGACGCTCATGGCTTGTCACTAATTAATTTCGGTGGCCAATTTGGTAGTGTTCTGTCTCAGTATGGAGTCCACAGTTTCCCAGTGCTCTTTATGCACAACAGAACTGCAAGGGTGCGTTATTATGGACCTAGACAACTCGAATCCTTAATACTTTTTTATCAAAACTATACAGGTACTTACTTCATGGCATTAACTCCTTTTTTCTTTTTTCTTTGTTAATTTTTAAAAACATTTTACGGTGTAGGGTTTAGCCTCTTCTAAATGTAATAATAGTGAGAGCTTAATTGGTTGATGTATCATTGGCCTCCCCCCCCCCCGCCCCGAGTGCCGTTCCGGCTCAACTTTGGTTCACATATGAATGTTATTATGTGTAGTATCTCAGCATTAATATTCGCATTTTAAGCTTTTAGTTTAATTCGTTCTTTCGATCACAACCTTATACAGTTCGCATTTGGTTTACAGGCTTGAAGGCAAACGAAGGTCAACCAGGCAGAAAAGAGGATTGCGCCTTTGCAAGATTGGTTTATGATGCTGGCACTGAAATGAAAGAAGGCTGTCCCTATCCTTGGGCAATATCACCCGAGAAGTGGCTGCAAGATGATATGTACCTGAATCTTGCAGTAGTGTTCTTAGTACTGAGGTTAGTTTACGTTTTGATACCTGCTGTCTTGATAAGGTTGAAAGAACACTGGGAGAATAGAGACTACACTCAAGCGCCTCTAAGTTCAAATTACCCTAATACATCTAATGAAGGAGGTTCCTTGCTGGGGAATGCAAGCCAAGTTAGTGATGATGCGGACACTGAAAAGCAAAGAGCTGGCTCTGCAAATGGATTGAACGATATATCCGTATCTAGCTGGTCTTCTGCTCAAGCGGTTACGCAATCTAGCTCTGCATCCAGCGCTGAAAGCAGCTCAAGTCGAGCTGGATCTCCAGGTGAGGTGTATGATATTGGTGAAAAAGAGATGTATTAATTAATATGTAACAAAGTAGCTACACACAATTCAGACTCAGCAGTGCTTTTATACACCTGAGACTGTCGGCATGATATATTCGAACACTATAATGGTTTCTGTGCTGCATTCCTTATGGAGTGTCCGTGTAATTTACTTCAATGCTTTTCTATTTCAAGTACTTCAAAGAATGTTTCATTCACATTTTCCATATTCGCTTCAAATGAGTCCGCACGTTGTGAAGTACGCTTGGATATTTTTGTCTACAAAGGTTTCTTCTGAAGATACAGTTGCTTCTTTGAGGAGACTTTTAGGTCAGAATGAAGGCTCTTGAAAAACAGGTACCTGTCGAGTAGACTTCATGCTACCACGTGGCTTGGTTTGTCCTGGTCTAAAATCCAGCAACAGATTATTTAGCTGCTGTTTGTCTCACCAACTAACGGTTTAGACAATGAACCCAGTAATTCGAGTTTTGAATTTGGCTAGGATTTCAATTCCTCTCTCCTTACAAGGATTAACATGTTACATGCATCATTGCTTTTAAGATGTGAGGAGTTTATTAAGGGTTGTGTGCTGCATTACCGAGTGATGGTGCACTATCAAGCTCAGCCTGTGGCTTCGTGTAACTCAAATATCCTTTGTACTGTGAGGCATTTGGGCTCAAGTTTGGACCACTTTGACATGAAACTGTCGCTTAAAATGGCCTAAAGCAGTGATTATGTAAAGTCTTACATCGAACTCAGTTAACCTTCATGAGAAGAAAAAGATGACGATAACAAAATTTACGTTTGCTATTTGAATTATGTAATGTTTTAGATCATTACATATTATCATATCAAAAACAAGATTGATATCTTGCTTTAAGATTTCAAACAATAATTTTTAAAAGTGACACTGAAATGTTTGTTACAAAGTGATACAGATACCAATTCTTTTATATAATTATATCTTTAAAGTGCTATAACGTATACTAGTATTGGAGCCATTTGCTTTGTTTTGGGAGTAATGTGTTAATATAGATTATTAATGTACAAGATGCATCTTTTTATACTAGGATGATAAAGAATAATCGACATAAAAATTGAATTCTATACTAGAACCAATGATTGAAATTGTAAAAATTTAGATTTAAAAATTTAAATAAAATTCTTTTTATTTTAAATTTATTTGTATGTGTGTATTTTTATTTTTATTTTATTTTAATAGTTACTAGCAACTTTTAGCACAAGGTTTCTACATTATTACTACCAAAATGTTCGTAAAACCTAGAAAGCTAATATATGTAGATTTCTGCCACATGAAATCCTATTGCCAACAATATAAAACTTTGCTTATATGATATTGAAATATAATTTTATATGTGTATTTTAATACAAACATTTGTGTAGAAAAAAAATATATATGTATTTATTACAACTTTATATTTTTGAATGATGTAAGCAAATATGCAAATGGAGTCTTAAGTCAATAATTGAAGAATCTTGAGTACACACACACACTTATACACAAACATATATATATATATATATATATACTAGTGGTTAAATCGATTGGCTTTGTCAATGTTGAGTATGCTTTTGGCAGCCAATAAATAAAAAAATTAAAAATACATATATATACCTTGACAGCCAATCAGTGCCACATACTGCGATTAAGAATATAATATAATATAAAAAACGGCCCCACATTAGCTACGTCAGCTATGTGTGGATCAAGTTCATTTGTGCCGCTGTTGGCACCGTCACCACCACCAACATGGCCCATCCCATCCTTTGATTCCAATACCTGGGTAATTTGGTAGTAACTGGGTTTATCCACCTTATTGCTCTAACCAATAAGATTTTTTGATGTTACATACAAACATAGGTAAAAATTAAAATGGAATTGATTTGTTATTAATTTCACTTCTTCTAATAAGATTTGTCAATGTATTTTCAAATTAGTCAATTTTGTGCCTTCTTGTGAAGTTGCAATTAAGTTAAGTTTCAAAGAATTCTTCACGTAATAAAACCATCTTGGTAAGTGCAATCATATACCATTTAAAACTAATAATTTTATAAATGCTATATTTGTCTATAATCCAAAGTTTTAAGCTTTGCATGCCCTTTAAATCTTAAATTTTATTAAAATGACATTGATTACCTTTGATTTTGATATATATATATATATATATATATATGTTAAAATAATCCAAACTTTTACTAAATTGACCCACCTATCTAAATTGCAACCTGTCCCCGTTCCTAGTCCCCATCCCAGTTCCCTCCGTTCCCATCCCCCATCCCTGTTCCGCCCGTCCCGACCCCCCTTCTCCCCTCCTCAATCGTCGTCGTTGTAGTCGTCTCCCCATCTCCCAACTCGCGGGACGGTCTCGAAGGTCTCGATAGTGAGAAGAGGGCAACTGGGGGTGGGGGTTGTGGACGCAAAGTATGAATCACATTGGCTTAGTTACTCCCAGTTTCAACATGGGAAGTGTGTCATTCACTCGTACATTGTTCATCTCGATCATAAAACTTTTCCATATCTTCCTCACCCATACCCAAAGAAATTCCAGCAGATGAGCCCAAAAATAGTCACCCTAGAGAGTGACACCATTTGCAGACTAACACAAATTGTGCAATGCAACTCCCTGAAGAGCAACGACGATGCTCCACCGAATCTTCACTTGATCTTCTGCCTGCATTGTTGGCTCTGCATTGATCAGCACACAGGAGGCGTGGAGCAGAATTGTTAACAGAAAGGAAGGGAAGAGCACTCCGTAGTCCTGTGCGAACTGGCCGACATCACAGCGACGTGTGTATGCACAGACAGTGAACGGCAGTGACAAATTCTCTCCAAGAGGCTCCACTAATTAAAGCTTCAAATCAATGCTACTCTCAAGCACTGGTCCGGTCAGCACTGGTTCCTGTTGTCTCCCTCAAAAAACCTTCTTCTTGGGAGAATCCTAACGTTGTATTCATAAGCGACGACGAAACTTGTGAAGCAGATCACTGAGCGTCATACCGTCGTGATGGGATTCCTGGTCTGAAGGGTTGTGCCTTCGGAAGTCTCCGATCATGGAATCAACCACAGCAAGGTACCGGTGGTCACGGCCTGGTTGGATGCAGCTTGATCGACCTGCCTAGAAAACAAGCTGCAGACGACCTCGCCATGATGGAGGTGATGCAGGTCCAGCAACGGAGCCAGCAAACTAGTCAAATTAACTACAGCAGAAAATACTGATTTAGCAGAGGAATTGGCTTTGAGGGCGGCGATGGTGACAAGCAGAGACGGTGGACGATGGAAGAGGTCGCCGAATGCAATAGCCCATTATAATAATATACTCTTTAATGGACGCCGCACTCGCTGAGATTGCATCGGCATCAGTCACCTTCACTGTCATTGCTCCTCCGATAAGCGGCACGGACGCCGACCCAACATGCACTCTCACACACAAATACATTTACAGTATATATATATATATATAAATATTCATGCACAGATATGTAACTGGGCACTCTTCCTTGATAGGCTAAAGCTGTGGTGACCCCGATGCTCCGATCGTGTGAAAATCTAACACTGTCCACCCTTCAGTGAACTAGCACACACTATGCGTCCACAACCCCCACCCCCAACCGCCCTCTTCTCGCTATTCAGACCTTCAAGACTGCCCAGCGAGCTGGGAGATGGGGAGACGACTACTGCGACGACGACTCAGGACGGGGAAGGGGGTCGGGACGGGCGGAACGGGGATGGGGGATGGGAACGGGCGGAACCGGGATGGGTTGCATTGATGGTTTAGACAGGTGTGTCGATTTAGTAATAGTCTCGATCATTTTAATATTATATGATTTATTTTCATATATATATATATATATATATATAATTATTTTAAAGCTTTAAATCTTTATAAAAATACATGAGTGCAAATTTAAAATTAAAGAGGACTTATTAGTAGATATTCAAAACTTCTTTTTGGTTAATTACACTTGTTACAAAATTTATTAAAAAATTTTAAAATAAGAAAATTACATAGATCAATAAATTAAGAATTTTTTTTACTCTACATCTCTAATTATTATTGCAACATTTTAATTAACATCCACCGCAACCATAAGGGAAGATGAGAAGAGGATTCTTTTTGGAATAAGAAGGTTCTTTCTTGGAACCCTAGTCTTGGAACTCTAGTCTTGGAAATCGTGTTTCTTTTTTTTAATATATATATATATATATATATATATATTTTCCTTTTCTCTCTACATTCTCTTCACTTAATTTGGAAGGCTAGTTTCTAAGACCTTCTATTTATAAGCTATCTATTCTAAAACTACTTGAACAAGTACAAATGTTATATCCAATTTTACCACATCTTCTACATTTTTTTTTTTTTAATCTAATCTCATAACCCTCTACAACTTCAAACAACAAAAGATCTTATTGCATATGTAATATTGATATATGGTTCAAAGCTCCAAAAAGATGTCTTTTTGGCCATTGAGGGATCAAATTATTTAGAGCACAAAAGCGTTGTAATACCAAAAGACGAAGAACAATTGGTAGAAGAAGTAGAGGATCAAGGTGCCATTCATGATAGAAGTTATTAATGTGCAATACATCATCTCTTGCAAGATATATCTATATTATATACTTGCAAGGTATCTAAAATGAGTAAGTAAAATGTCTAAAATATGCCTCTTCTTCTCTTATTCTTCTAAATTGTAAGATCTTAAATAATACAAAATGTAATATCTTCTTTACTACTAGATCATAAAATTACTCATCAATACTTAGGCAAAGTTATATCTTCTCATTTCCAATCTTTGCTCTTCATTCTTTCTCCTGGTAATCAAGATTCATGGTGATTTCATAATAATTTTTTTAAAAAACAAGTGTTGATACTTGAAGCCATTGTTTTAATATTAAATGACCAATTTTTATGGAAGAAGTATTGACATTATCAAAGTAGAGATGTTCAAAAGACCATGATGCAACAAAATATTGTTTTAAAGATATTCAAATCATTGATATATAAGTAATAGCATTTAAGTGACCAACTTCATATTTTATCTTGATTCTTTTTTAGCTATTATTAAAGGCTTTTGTTGCACAATTCTTTGTGACTTGGTTTTATTCTTAGAATAAGACTATTGATTTTTTTTGTAAGAAGTTGAATTTTCAATATATCAAAATGTTCTTATTGATGTGCTACAAAGAACATGTTTGTAGATGAGA